CTGTTTCGTGCTTTTTTTTCCAGTTTTTAATTTTTAATGTTGTTATATCATTTTCTATTTGTTCTACGTATCTCAGCTTCGGTCTTCCTCTTGTTCTTTTTCCTACTGGCACTTTTTTGAATATTTTGTTTGGTATTTCGCCTTCTTCCATTCTTTCCACATGTCCAATCCAACGTAGCCTTCCTATTTTAATGAATGTTATGATATCCGGATCCTGGTATATGTTGTATAGTTCAAAGTTATACCTTCTCCGCCAAATCCCGTTTTCTTTTGTGCCCTTATATATGTGTCGCAAGATTTTTCTTTCAAAGGTGGCTAATAACGTTTCCTCCCTTTTAGAGAGTGTCCAGGTTTCTGAACCGTATGTGAGTACCGGTCTTATTAAGGTTTTGTATATTTGGCATTTTGTTTTTCTGGAGACGTTATCTGATCTTAGTTGCCTAATTAAGCCATGGTAACATTTATTGGCAATAAATATTCTCCTCTTCACTTCCTCTGCAACGTTGTTATCAGACGTAACTAGGGATCCTAAGTATGTAAAGTTTTTTACCGCCTCAATGTTGTATTCTCCTATTGTTAAATTTGGTAGTTGCCTTATTTGTGCGTTTTTATTTGCAGGTATATATTTTGTTTTTGTCTGATTGATTTTAAGACCACTATTTTTTGCAGCTCGTTCTATTTGCGTGAATGCCTCTATCAGTTCTCTTCTTGATCTTGCGATTATGTCAACATCATCTGCAAATGTATAGCTAGTACTTGCACGCTTTTATTAATTATTGTTCCTCGGGTATTAACTGTTGTGTCTCTTATTATTTTTTCAAGTATGATGTTGAATAATATGCATGATACAGCGTCTCCCTGGCGTAGTCCCTTCTTCACATCTATTGTTTCCGTTAATTCGTTTTGTATCCGGATTTTACTTTCTACTTTTAGTGTTTCTTTTATCAATTCTATTAGCTGTGTTGGTATATTAAATTCTTTCATTGCTTTTGTTAGGAATTCTCGGTTTATATTGTCATATGCGCTTTCGAAGTCTATGAAGAGATGATGTGTGTCGATGTTATATTCACTTGTTTTTTCAAGGATCTGTCGCAGAACAAATATCTGGTCTATTGTTGACTTCTGTCTACAGAAGCCACATTGGTATTTGCCAACTATTTTTTCAGCGTATGGTTTAAGTCTTTCATACATTACGTTGGACATTATTTTGTATGCCGCATTCAACAGCGTGATTCCACGGTAGTTTTCACATTCTAACTGGTTTCCTTTTTTATGTAGTGGTACAATAATGCCGCTATTCCACTCCTTTGGTAGCTGTTTATTCAACCATATCTTTCTTATCAGCTCATGTATGGCTTTAAGTAATGCGTCTCCTCCTTCTTTCAGTAGCTCCGATGATATTTGATCCGATCCCGGTGATTTATTGTTCTTTAATTTGTCCACTGCTGTTCTAATCTCTGCTATTGTTGGTGGACTCTTTTCTCTGTTGTCTGCTTGGTCTAATGGTATATCAGGGTTCATCTCCGTCCTATTCACCCCAAGCTTTTCCTTAAAATGTTCTGTCCATCTTCTAAGTATCTCTTGCTGTTCTGTCAATATATTACCCTCCTTATCTTTACACATCGTTGTTCTCGGTTTGAACTCTTTTCTGCTTTTGTTGAGTTTCTGGTAAAATTTTCTTGTCTCTGTTGGTTTACTTATTTCTTGTAGTTCTTGAAGTTCTTTGTTGATATATTCTCTTTTCTTTCTTCGGTGAATTTTCTTTTCTTCTTTACGTAGTTGTTTATATTCTTCCTCTGCTTGTCGGGTTCTGTGCCTCTGTTGCGTCTGTAGATATGCTCTGTTTTTTCTTTCTGTTATAGTTTGACATTCTTCGTCAAACCAGTGATTCGTTCTTGTTCTTCTTTCTTTACCTTCCATGCCCAACACCTCTTTAGCTGTTTCTTTTATGATTTCTCTGCACTCTTCCCACTCCTCATTTAGGTTTTCATGTTTTGGTCTGTTTTCTAGTTTGATGCTTATATTTTGTGTGTACTCTCTATTTTTGTTTGTTTCTTTGAGTCCTTCTATATTGTATCGTTCATGTTTAGAGCCTCTTTCCTTTTTGATGTTTGAAATTCTAGCCCTTATCCTACTTTCGACCAGGTAGTGATCAGAATCCGCATTTGCCCCTCTTCTGGTACGGACGTTTATTATATTCGATTGGTGTCTTGAGTCTACAATATGATCTATCATATTCACTGTAAGTCCGTCTGGTGATTTCCAGGTGCCTTTGTGTATATCTTTTCGAGCGAAGTATGTGCTGGCAATCACCATGTTAAGTGATCTTGCTAGGTTTACCAACCTATTGCCATTGTCATTTGATTGCTCATGGAGACTGTGCTTACCTATTGTGGATTGGAATTGCTGCTCTCTTCCAACTTTTGCGTTTAAGTCTCCATAAATTATTTTTATATTACTTTTTGGGCATGACTGGTATACGGTTCTTTGACTTCCTCTTCTTTTGCTTCTGTGGGGGCATGCGCATTAATTAGGCTGTAGTTAAAGAAACGTCCTTTAATTCTTAAAATACACATTCTGGGACTGATGGCTCTGAAGTCTTTTATTATATGTCTTACTCTCTTGTTAACTATGAATCCAGTGCCCAAAATGTGATCTTTGAACGTTCATAACTCATGGTTTTTCTATGAGAAGGTAGTTAACCTTCAGCCCAACCCCCTATTCGTCGGAGGACCAAGACTCCCTTCTTCGTCAGCCCTGACCCCACCTTCCATTGGGGGTTGGTTACCCAATCTCCAGTGGGGTTGCTCAGGTTACCGGTGTGTACCAGCTTGGAGGTGAAGATAGGAATTGAGTAGGAGAGGCTAAGTGACGCCAACAGGATACGGCATCATATGTTGCGCTTCACTACCCCTTCACACACCAATAAAATTTTAGTTCATCATATTTGATTTTTCAATTTTCGCTTCTGCCAATCACTTTACCCTTCAGTATTCATAATTGTTGCAGACGAATTTAATAGTTTGCATCACGTGTCCAAAATATGCTGCTTTTTTAGACTTTAACGATGACAGGATTTGTGGTTCTTTTTCAATTTATTTAAAGAGTGTTATATATGCATTTTTAACCAATCCTATTCGCCCACGTAGACCACTTGCAGGTTTTCATCGATCCCTATGATAATAAAACTGCTAATCGTAGTTATACTTGTTTACTCCTTCCTTAAGTATTGATTATATGGCTCTAATAATACGATAGTGACTACATGCTAAGAAATGACATGTGTTGGGAAAAATACGTAACAAAATACCTGTATGTATCGTCGGATGCTCTCAATAACAGACTAACCAGAGTACTGGCTATTAGCTATTAGTATTGGCTATCTCACTTCAAACATCCAAAAACGTTCATCATAAATTTCGATAATCCCTGAGAACAAAGAGACATCTGGGATAAAAGGAAGCATTTTAGTAGAAGTTAAATAGTGAATGAGGAGCGGAGTACATCCGGTTCCGCCCACCTGCCCACCAGCTTACGCACACCTGTTCGCGTACACCTCTTCGCGCTTGCCTGTTCGTGCACACCTGTACGCGCACACGTGTTTGCGCAGGTTACAATTCTTTCGCGCAGCTGTTTCGACCTCACCTGTTTTACGCAGCTGTTCACACACTTGCAAGCTGATCTGGGTCATTAAATTTTTCCCGTTTGAGCACATCTGTTTATTGTTACTAATTAACTCCCAATTTTATGTAAAATTGATGATATAAATACTTAGCTTGAGCTGGTTTTATTAGTTCATTGTTAAATATCATCATGTCACTAGCAAAGAAAAATATTAAAATCATTAGCGATATTAAGTTAAGTCCAAAAGAAAGTTTGGATTCGAGTTCTAATTCGCTAGTATTTTTCAACGATCTAAGTAAAATAAAGCCGATCTGTTACAAAAAAAATAGTGTGCACTGAAATTACTGTCATTTGCTAGTGTCAAAAATGAGCTGCAAAGTGGCAATGAAATTGAACGAGAAAGTGCAGCTAAAGAAATAGACCAACCATCGCAGAAAAATCTTAATGGAAGTAACGAAAAAGTAGTAGACCCATCGGAAACAAATCTTTATGGAAGGAATAAAGAAGTAGTTGAACCATCTTAGACAAATCTTTATAGATGTCACGAACAGGTATGCGCAAACAGGTGTGCACGAACAGGTGTGCGCGAACACGTGTGCGCAAGCAGTTGTCAAGATGGGCGGGAATTGGATGTGCTCCGCTGCTCATTCACCATTTAACATCTACTCATTTTTTCAGTCAGAAGCCTCGTACAAAGAATCCTAGGTTCGGTGTGATATTAGTCTAATAATATCTGGCTGAATTCTGCCTGTTTATTGATTTAATATTTGTTCTCGGAATTTTTTACTGTTGTGTATTTACTTGTGATATTGCTTCTGTAGCTCATACACTTGTAATATGATTTTCTTTTGCTATTTTTTTACTACATATTTTTTGTCTTGAATATCTAGAGGTAGCATTGCTAGTCGAAGCTGATACACTTTTGCTATCTTTGTTGTTGCTTATTCATAGTCTTTGAAAACATAGGAACATAAATACGAGATCCACACAGCGCAGCTGTCCAAATCCTCCTGACGATAGAAGGAGGACCACAGTTTCACATAGACACAAAATTCATATAATTTTAGGCAACGATTAAGCAATCAAAAAATTAAAAGATATTAAATTATTGAATATGAAATTATTTTAAATTAATATAGACGGTTGCGTTTCAATTCGAGTTTCTCATAGTTCTTCTACATGCATTTCAAGGTTTACCTGTCATCAGGAAGACTTGTGAGAAGACTAAACTTAATTTAAATGCACCGTTTAATCGGCAGTTATAGTGAATAAAAAATATAAAATTATGTAATCATCAACCTCTAACGAGGAAAAACAGTATTGATAGCGCTTAAAGTAACTGTAAAATATTATTTATTTATGTTTTAAAAACTTACCTTTTCACTAGTTTTTGTCGGACCATAATAATACATTAATAAAACTACAATTAATAGAGAGATTAGAGCGAATACTACAAATCCTATGGCTTTTTTAGTGGTTACAAAACATCCCCCATTGCGACTATATTTCAAAATGGCTTCGTCTGATAGGAACTCCGCCCTATTGGAGTGATATCCTCCACGACCCATGACCGAATCTGAAACAAAAGATAATAATAACTAAAGAGGAACTGATTCAGAAAATTCATGGTAAATTAATCAAAATGAGTTAGACATCGACTCAATTTCAGATATTTTATAATATGCTCTTAAAAGGCTAATTTCTAACTGTATACTCATATACATCCAGGCAGCCCATTTTTATATTCCTTAATGTAATGTGTAATTAGGACTTTTTATCAGCCGCCATGTTTTTCGTACAGACAGATTTGACAATGACGCATAATATATATTATACGTCATATGTACTGGATCATAAATTTATAAAGAAATATTTATTAAATAAATATTTTTCAATTAATATAAACAATTACATAATCCATAACTCCAATAACTCCGCTTCGTTGATACTTTTCGTACATTTATTATAATAATAATCGATTAAAAAATATTCATTTGGTAATTGTGACACTTTATTGTGTTTTGAGGTTATGTTTTATATCTATAATTTATTTATACATTTGATCAAATTGAAATTATTAACTAATTAAAAGTTGAAATTAGAAGACTCGCTTATTATATCCGAACGACTGCGGTACCTTGGGTAACTAACTACATACTTTAAATATGGTGTTTTATTGAAAATTAGTTAAGAAAAATATTTTATTTACTACAAAGCTCCCGATAACTGTATAATACTCTATTCTTTAGTTATATTTAATAAATATTAATATCGATACTAACGCATTTATGTAAAAGTGGAACTTTCAAAATGAAAGACACTCTTTATTTTCTATATTCTTCTTTGTGTTGTTACTCTTAATCGAATTTGATTTTTGGGTGTTCCTATTGGTTTTTCTTCAAATACTGATATTTTTGCTAAAAAAGTCGTCTTTTTGGTACTTGTCGTATTCGGCTCACTATTTGGTTGGTATAAATATATATATATATATATATATATATATATATATATATATATATGTATGTATATATATATATTTATATTCCTCTGTATATTGCCAGACTTCTAAAGAGTACAAACTTCCGTCTATAAAAAGTTTATTGCCTTTAATGTAGCTTCCAGTACTAGAATTCTGCCGGGCAAGTTTAAAATGGTATTTTAATATTTTTTGCTCTTCTCTTTGTTTTTGGGTATAGTCGTGAGTTAAGTTTTTCTTGGATTTTCTTTATATTTTTTCTAGTTTACTTTTTAACCCTAAATTTCCATTAAATTTAATTTTAAACGCCCCATATTACATCCATTACAGCATTTAAAAATATGCCCCATGGTAATATTTTATCACCTATTAGATATTTCAACTAAGAACACTTACGATGGTAAACATTTGGATGCAAGGCGAAGTTTTTTATTAGACTTAGGGCAGGAATTGGTGAACAAAAGTTTTATCTACAGATATCAAAACACAAATAATATGCATTCTAAGTTACTTCAAATGATGAAGTTAACATAGTTACTTACTTACTTACTCCGTGGCGTTACAACCCTTCATGGGTTTTAGCCGACTTGACAACATGCCTCCACTGTTCTGTCTTAAGCAACCTCCATCCAATTCTTTACGCTCATAGTGCTTTAATATCTCGCCACCGGAGACGAGGGCGTCCGCATGGTCTCCTTCCAGTTGGGACTTCCTCTTACACCAGTCTTACTGTTCGTTCATCAGAATGTCTTCTAAGGTATCCTGCCCATTGGAGTCTTCTGAACTTAATTTCTTTCATGAGCTGGCGTCTGGGTAAAGTTCTTCGAGCTCTTTGTTAGTTCTTATCCTATATTGTCCTGATGCTTCATCCAGCACAGGACCAAAGATCTTCCTTAGTATTTTTCTTTCCCAAACACATAGTCTCTCTTCGTTTGCCTTTGTTATCATCCACGTTTTGCTTCCATACATCACAACGGGTCGTATGATTGTTTTATAGACCTGTATCTTCGTACGTCGTGTTAGTTGTTTCGATTTTATAAGGGTTTGTAGGACAAAAAGACATCTGTTGCCGGCCTGAATCCTGTTGTTTATTTCTTGTGATCCGTTATTGTCTTTAGTTATTCTTGTTCCAAGATACTTGAATTCTCTAACGCGCTCAAAGTTAAAGTCATCGATGGTGATGTTTTGACCTTTGGTTATTGCGGCTCATATACATATATTTCGTCTTGTTTTCGTTGATTCGGAGTCCCATCTTCTCTGCTTCCTTCTCGAACCTTACGAAAGACTCCTTCAACCTTAATCGTGTGTTTCCTGTTAGATCGATATCGTTTGCAAATGCCAGTAGTAAGTTTGGTCCTTCTCGATGAAATACTGTATTGGGTTTTTCGATTCTTTCACTTCTAATTATGTACTCCAGGGCTAAGTTGAAGAGTTGTGGTGAAAGTGCATCTCCCTGTTTAAGCCCATTGTTTATTTCAAATGTCTCCGAATATTGTTGTACAACTCTCACCTTACATCGTAACCATTCCATACACATCCGTATCAACCTGACTATTTTTTTTTGAAAGCCAAGTTCCTGCATCGCTGTCCATAGTCTGTCCTTGCATACTCTATCAAATGCTTGTTTAAAATTTATGAACATCTGATGAAGCCCACGATCAAACTCCCAGCATTTTTTCATTATCTGTTTTATTGTGAATATCTGGTCAATAGTAGAGTGGCCCGGTCTAAGCATTGATAATCTCCAACTATTTCTTCTGTGTAGGTTTTGGTTCTTTCTAGCAGGATGTTTGCAAGGATTTTGTAGGTGGTGTTTAGAAGTGTTACTCCCCTATAGTTAATACATTGCTTTTAGTTTCCTCTTTGTGTATCGGTACAATACATTTACATTTCCAATTCATTTCCATTCATTTAGCATTGTTTCTTCTCACCAAAAGTGTTGAATTAGCTTCTATATAGAACTGTACAACGTTTCTCCTCCATGTTTTAAGCACTCTGCGGGTATACCATCGCTACCTGGTGTCTTATTATTTTTAAGTTTTTTAATTGCCTGTATTACTTCTTCGTATGTTGGGTATTGGTCTTCTATTTCAGCTGTATGTACCTCTATGTTTGATGTATTTCTGCTAGATTGGTCATTCAATAGTTGATAGATGTATTCCTTCCAGGTTTTTAGGATTTCCTTGTCATCCGTGATAAGCTGTTCACTGTCGTTTTGAAGGAAGTTTCCTGTTCTTGCTTGGTACCCGGTCTTGATATCTGAAACTCCTTTGAAGAACTATCTCGCTTGTTTGTTCTTTATTTTTTCTTCTATATCTCTGATTATTTGTTCCTGATACTCTCTTTTCTTCCTTTTCATTAGTTTTCTTGTCGGAGTTACTTATGCTAAAGAAAAAGACCGAAAGTCCCGGAATTACTGTATTGTGTGTAAAAACATTTTGTTGCCCACTTTGTGAAAAATTTTATGTGTGTTTCTTTTGCAACGATAATTCTTTTTTTATGAAGAAATTACTTTCGTTTATATATATATATATATATATATATATATATATATATATATATATATATATAAGGCTTGCAAATGCACCCAGCACAGTTGTTTACGTACGAATCTAGGTACTGGACTATGCACTTTTATTTCTTAGTGATCACATACCGTCACAAAGTTTGGAGAGATTATTACAAATTGACTGCATAAAACAGGGTTTTGGGGGTTAAAGCCCCCCATGACCCCATTCCGACACTGTTACTCACCTAAAACATAAAAAAAATTTCGGTGGCCAACCAAAACCGCCAGCCAGCACCTCCCCAACCCCTAAGGAAAATCCTAGGTGCGCTACTGGCATAAAACCATATTCAAATCCATTTCACTTTGCGGAAAATCCACATTAAGGCCTATTTTTATGCTTTATTTCTTCGACTAATAACTAAATTTATAAGCTGCAGTAAAATAACGTAAGAGAAAGTTTAGCATAAATTCGAATTTACAGGGAAATTTTGTTTACCATGTTAACTAAGTCCTTTGGAAATTATTCTTAATATTGCAGTAATATTATATTTTTTAAAACTCTAGTAACGTACGTTAGAATTTATTTTAAATAAATACATTTTATCATTTATTAACATATAACATGATTTAACTAAAATTTGTCACAATACTGACGACATACTTCTACTATGAATAGTTTACAAATTTTGAGATAATAGAATCACGTAGAGCAGTTGTTGACGATTGTCACAGTGTAGATATTGGTAGGCCATTGTCTTTTATCACAATTTTGCACGTGCTTTAAACTGTACTTGATCGATAATTTTTTAGCGGAACTTATTATAGTTATTGTATAAGAAAAACATTTAAAATCAGCTGGAATCTTTTAATATTATAGTAGTTTGTAAGTAATTACTTACTTTAAAAATAAATATATTTTAATCATTGAAGTTGTAGACGATTTATCATAAATATGTTTAAGGCATTTAACTTTATCACACAACAAACAAATTAGACATATAAGATGATAAATAATGATTTTATCTTGTTATATTTGACAAAAGAGTTAATTAATAATACCCTACTCCTGCGGTTCTCATTTTGTGGTACATGTACCGCTGATGGTGCATATTATTATTTGCGGCGGTACGCAAAAACCCAGTCAAAATCAGCACCGCATAAAAAAAACTTGAAAAAAGATAGTAAAAAATATCCCCTTGCTTAAAACCTCTATAAAAAGTCCGTTTTCCCACCGTAAAGACACAATAATTCTCGTTTTTAGTAGAATAATCACATCTCGAACCTCCCTAATGTCGTCTCAGTTATCGCATACAAGCACATCGGAATCCTCAGCATGTAATCATATCCACTCTCTCTACGTATTAAAAGTACATACTCGTTTTAAATACCAAAGTAGATTTTACACTTTCAAACTTAGTAATTTCAAAACAATTTTTTATAATAAAAGTGATTGTAAAATCAACTGGGGTCAAATAAAATAAATAAAATATTTAACTTAGTCTACAACATCGAACTGTACCTGCTTCGACAAAGACTAATTAAATGGCGTCTTTGTAAGCAACCAATATAAGACGAGAACTAAACAACAGCTTCTAAAGATAGAGTGGTTCTGATGATTTTCAACTTCTGCAACATAGATTGAAGTACTTGAAGAAGAATAATAGTGTATAATGTATTAAATAAATTGTTCATTCAGAAGCGTCGGATAACATCAATAGCTATTACATTCATCATGGGATGTAAACTTTCCTTATGTGTTTATTCGTTAGTGTTAATAGTTTTGTCCATCCACTCATGAGCAGCAATTTAATGCTAACGGTTAATTTTTTTTGAGATTTTCCTCTAGTCAATTTGTGGGCCCTTGGTCGTCATTTAACAATTTTTATTTTGAAAGTAGAGATCTACAGCAAGGTCACTAGAAAGATAGCCTAGTAAGTACTGCTTTTAGTATCGAGATGGCACATTTTTCTCTAATCATATGTGCTCGCGTATGCTCTTATGACCGCCTGCCTCTCAGCTGAAACCAAAACTTCTCCAAAACTTGTTCGTTGTGAACGTAACCTCAAAAGTATGCCATATAACTTCATTAGTATAGGATTTATCTATTAATTTATCGTTATCATAAGGAGAAAATCTTTGCAGAGATTTAAGGTATTGGTTTGAAAATAAAAACTGTAGAATTTTATGTAAGATCAATATTGGCATAAATTGGGACTAATAACAAAAAGAGAAAGAAAGAGACTTAGAGAGAGATAGAGAGAGAAAAGAGGATAGGTTATAAAAGAAAGAACGTCAAAAAATGAACTACCCTGTTCCCTTCCATAATGTTCTATTTGCTTCTTTTCATTTAATTATCTGAGTAACACAACCTGTACCATTTCGTTATACGCCGTACTGTCTATGGACGATATGTTAATGGTATTTTCAGGTGTCACCCCTCCTAGCAGTTTTCTTAACTTTTATCTTTCTTCAACGAACGTACTATATTCGAACAAGCAATGCTTTGCATCGTCTTGTACGTCACACTGTCTGCAGAGGTCATCGATTCTCTTTTTGATACGAAACATATATGCTCTGAAGGACCGTGTCCAGTTAGAAACTGCGTAAAGTAATAGTTTGTATACGAAGAAGGTATAATAAAGTATATAACACTAATAGTTTGTACGCTTGTAAGTGTGGTTGTATCAGATACTAACGTCTGGTAAAAACTTATTCGTCCATTGAGCCTTTGACATCAGGCCGACCGACTCGTTTTGCCACATGATAAGCATTTGCTCTCTAATTTTTCTTCTAACTACATGTTCATGTGTCATGTGTCATCTTCATCATCATCATCTTACTCAATATAGTATACAAAATACTGTCTTATGTGCTAAACTGAAGAATACCTTATTGGGGAGTTCACGTAGATAGAATCAACTTAGAACAAAAATAACAAAATCAGCAAAAGGACATAAGGCTAAAAGAGACCACCACAGGTATAATAGGAAAGATGGACATCACAAGATGCATTACAAGAGCTAGGGTTATTTATTTATTTATTTATTAAAACTTACAAACACCACCTAGGTAGTAATTACATGTAAGAGTGCTCATTACTTGGTATAACAATATACACACAAAAAATACAATATACACACAAGTACAAAATAAAAACACACAAAATAAAACACATTAATAAAAAGACACAAGTTAATAAAATATTAAAAATTGAGTCCATTACTTATCATACTTATTTATAACCTTTTTTAATATCCCTTACACTACAGGTAAAGAGGTCTATATCACAGATCTTTATTAACTCATTGCACTGATATTGCATATAGTTTATTATTGCACCTGAATTATAAGAACTACAAGAAAATAGGTCATTACTGTTTACCCTTAGGTTGACCTTTGGCACATGAAACCTAATAAAGTTTATCAAACCACATGTCTTATATTTAACATTGTTAATGATATTATGAATAAACACAACGCAATACATGTTTCTTCTTTGCTCTAATGACTGCAAGCCAAATATTTGAAGCAACTCTTTTGATGGCGTAAGGTGAGTATACACATTGTATTTCTTAAGGTAGAAATACCTTAGAAATCTTTTTTGTACCTTTTCTATATGATTAATATGAACTTTGGCTTCAGGAGTCCATACCACTGATGCATATTCCAAGTTTGGTTTTTGTCTATTTTTAATAATTTTCTTTGGGATGGCTTGATCAATGCAGTCATACAATTTATCGTAAAATTGATTAATACAATCTGTAGCAGTTACACAATTATACATATCTGACCAGTCAGTGTCTCTTATTAATTGATACAGAAGATTAAAGTCCCCCCTGGCATAATCATACCTATAAGACTGTTGTATATTACTCTTAGTGTATGAATTATCTTTATATTCTAGTAACATTTCTAGTGCCGGGTGATAATAATCTTCACGTACCAAAGGAGACCCAGACCTAGTTAGATTGGTTATGGATATGTTTGACAGTATAAGATCAAGCAGTTTATTTTTACAATTTGAAATTGTATTATATTGATTTAAATTGTTTAGATTTTGAAATTCTTTAAGCATGCTGCTCTTTTCACAACTTAAGTTAATAAATCCAGGAATATTAAAATCTCCAAATATGATAATATTAATATTTTCTGACAATACTTGGTTATAAAATTCTAAAAGTTCTTCATAAATATCTAACCTTACACCAGGAGGTATATATACACAGGAGACATAAAATGAATATGTTTTAAACCTTACCTTAAGTAACAAGCACTCAACAATTACATTACAATTAACTTTAATACTTTCTACAATAAATTTCTTTTTTAATGCTACCATAACTCCACCACCCAATGTCTTGCCACTGGCCCTAGGGTTCTAGAATATGAAGATTAGAAGGAGTATAATAAATACAATACTCCACCATTATGTTCCAGTTTTGGGATGTATACAACAAGGGATACAATTATTATTTATTTCTGCTTCTTACTGACCCCGAAAAACTACAGAGTAATTATTTTACTAAACACAATACTAAAATTAAAAAGGATAGTCATAACAAATAAACTGACTGAAATTATAGCAAAAAGCAGAAGAATAAGAAAGTTTTAGGTCAGCTAGATTATACACCGACGCTATATTTATAATGAGGCAAGTGCAAAAGAAATCACTATAATCATAATCATCTTTGTCTCGACAATCCTTTGTGGGTCCTGGCCTGCTTTGGTTTCTAGAGACCTGTAGCCATCTTCTAATTTTTAATATCTTTAGTCGGTCTTAAATCCATCTAACCTAATTCACGATCGACCTGGGCTTTTTTCTCCTACAGGTGTTTCTGTGGTTAGCTTTTTAGCAATCGTCTTGTCTGTCATTCGCATTTTGTGTCCAGCTTCTCTAAGTCGCTGTGTTTTAATGAACGTTACGACGTCTGGTTCATTAAAGGGTTGGTATAATTTGAAGTTATATATTTTACGCTAGTGATTTTGGTTGTTAAGAGCTACAAATATTTTGCGGAATATTTTACGATGGAATCTTATCAAAAGTTTTTCATTCTTCTGCGTAAAGTACATGTTTCTTATAGGTGAGGACGGGTAATCACACTACTAATGACACGCGGTAGAAACACGACCCGACACAGAGAGAACACAAACTTATTAAAACAGCAGATATTAAAACCGTTAGCAAAATCAAGATAGAAGCATTTGAGTTGTGGATGTATCGTAGAATATTAAGAATACCCTGGACAGAGAAAGTAACAAATGTGGAGGTTTTGCGGAGAGTGCGGAAAGAGAAAGAGCTGATACTTACTGTTAAAAAGCGCAAACTACAATATTTGGGACATGTTATGAGGGGAGATAAATACCAGTTGCTACAATTGATTATACAGGGAAAGATAATGGGAAAGAGATCTATAGGAAGAAGAAGGCATTCATGGTTGAAAAACTTGAGAGAATGGTACAATTGCACCAATTACCAACTGTTTAGATCTGCAGCATCAAAAATACGCATAGCTTTGATGATAGCCAAACTTCGGAACGAAGACGGCACTTGAAGAAGAAGAAGCAAAATCAATGTTAAAGCACTATGAGACAGAGCTATAAGTATAGATATATACGACACATATATATTATAATAGAATGACAACAAATAGTAAAGATGGCGAGAGACGGTTAACCAATAGGAAGACAAATTAGTGAGAAGACAACAAAAATGAGACATGTCTACCCAAAAAAGGATCATTATTTTGAATTATATAATTATTATTAAAGAAAACTGAAAAATAAATATAAAATACAGTATTTTCTATATGTTTAAGAATATAGAAAAATAGTTTAAAATTTGTCAATTTGTACCACTTACCAACATAATTCTGCACTAACCTCTGCGAAAACATATGACACTTAAATGTTTCCTTATCACTTACTTTGTCCTTTAGCAAAAATGCATCTTATCGATTTAATTCAAGCTTAACCTTGTCATAAATACGTATATAGTATTTTTCATACGCTATAGTTTACAAACAACGAACACAAACAATGCAAATGGACTAGAGAACCTGTTACAGAATTCGAAATGATTCTTTGATTGGTACTGAATGGACGACATGACTGTGTTTACAAAAGTAAACTACCAATGCCATTAAAAATACTCATAAAACTAAACCAGAAAAGCATGGGTATTTCCTTAATTTTGAAAGACGCCATAGTTAGTGTGTAAAAAATAAATTAATTAAAAAACCAATTTGTCAAATGACAATTAATTAATATAAAATGACTTCTTAAAACACTATATGATTTATTCCACTTAATTCGATGTAATTAAGCTTATTCAATTAACATTTACATTTACTATTCTAAATCTGTTACTATGATCCATATTGTTGGGCTTTAGTCTTCAGTATCTTCAAAAACATATAAATTATCGTTAAAAGAAACAAATCTTTGTCTTTCATTTTTTGAGTTTTGGGTTTGCTTCATTTTCTACAGGCGATATAGTTTCTGCCTCTTTAAAAAACTTGCACTTATAAAACAAAATATTTATGCAATTTTTTGAAAATATGCTATTATAAGAATAGCAGAAAAAACTGATTTGTTTTAAATATTGCAAATAGCTGAAGACGTCTTAACATAAAAATCAAAATTTGCTACAATTTGTCTGGTTCAATCTGTTGAATCAGTGTAATTCTATTGGCGGTGAAGAAATGTATTGTTACATTATTCAATGTCACTTCAGGTTTTTTACAGGCCGGAAGTTATCTACAAATAACAGAACGTTTCTATTTATTTTCTGCCAATTTCTTCTCGAAGCCAATAAGCCATTCCTTAACACTTTAACTGCCAGGTAAATTCAGAGTAAATTTTGTTACGGGTCTTCTGGGCCAAAATATGTTTTTCTTCTTAATTACTTTATTTGTAAAAAGAAAAAAAAAGACAGTCAAGATATGATTTCACGTACAATGCGTCTGTGTATCTGCTTATACGTATTTCGCCCTAATAGGGCTCATCAGAACAGCTATTCACAGGCGTTCTGAACGTGAAAATAAATCTTTTCTGTCTTAAGAAGCAACTCTAACATGGCTTCGTATAGACGTAAATAGCGACATCTGATATTAGAATGATAGGTGACACAAACGCCAAAATCGGAAAAGAAGAAGAGTACATAGGGGTAATAGGGAAACATAGTCTGCATAGAGAGACAAATGAGAATGGTCAGTTTCTAATAGACTTCGCAGCTGGAAAGAATATGGTTATCAGTTCGACCTGCTTCCCACATCGGGACATACATAAGGGCACTTGGGTATCACCTGACGGAAACACAGTCAATCAAATAGACCATGTACTGGTTGAAAGAAGAATGGCCACAAGTATATTAGATGTAAAAAGTAGGCGTGGAGCAAGCTGTGACTCCGACCATCTACTAGTACAGATACGGTTTAGATGTAAAATCAGTCGACAAGCAAAGGAAAAATATCCGAAACAAGAAAAACTAAACTTAGATAACCTAAAAGTCTCTGAGGTACAAGAAAGATTTGAGAGAACAGTGAGTGAAAAATTACTAGAAGAAAACATAGAAGAATTCACAATAGAAAATCATTGGAACACCATAAGCACTATGATACTAAACACGGCACAAGAAGTTCTTGGAACAAACACTCAACGGAGAGAAGAACAGTGGTTCGATGAAGAATGCAAACAAGCTATTCACGAAAGAAATGAAGCACATAAGAATTTCATACTCAGACGAACTAGAGAGAGAAGGACAGAATTTGAGAATAAAAGACGAAGAGCTGATAAACTAAGCAGACAGAAAAAGAGACGGTACGAAAACAACCGGATACTAAACATAGAGAGGGCGTTCAAGGAAAACGAAACACGCAGTGCATACCAACTTATCAAACATTTAAGACAGGGTTACAAACCGAAGACTAGCCTATGTAAAAATAAGAATGGGGAAATAATTAGCGATATGGACGAAATTAAGAGAACCTGGATGATGTATTTTAAGGAATTATTAAACGAAAGGGCACAAACACCACTTCAACAGCGGCAGCAGCAGGTAGAACAGGAAGGTCAACAACAGGAGCTGTGGGAAGATGGAGAAGATAATGAATTGGCTAGACCTCCAACGCTAGAAGAGGTTCGAACAGCAATCCAAATGCAAAAAAGCCATAAAGCGCCGGGAATAGATAAGATACCGGCAGAACTGTTCAAGCAGGGAGGAACAAATTTGACAGAACAGATGTACCAGCTTATACAAGAAATATGGAGAGAAGAAAAAATCCCACAACAATGGAAGAAAAGTATAATCTGCCCTATTCGTAAAAAAGGAGACAAACTGTTATGCCAGAATTATAGAGGCATCTCTTTACTTTGTTCGGGATACAAAATACTCACAAACATTCTTAATCGAAGACTTCAACCCCTCACCAAAAAAATTATCGGGGAATATCAAGCAGGGTTCAGGCAAAATAGATCTACTATTGACCAACTATTTACAGTTAAACAAATACTAGCCAAAGCATGGGAATATGACATAGACGTCTACAATCTCTTTGTAGATTTCAAGCAAGCCTATGATTCAATAGATAGAACAATACTACCTAATATATTACAAGAATTTGGCATACTATCAAAATTAATAAGACTGGTGCAAATGACAATGACAGAAACAGAAGCACATGTATGTATTCAAGGACAGATCACTAATGCGTTTATGACAACGCAAGGACTGAAACAAGGTGACGGACTGGCTCCAACACTTTTTAATCTTGTCCTTGAATGTGTAATTAGACGGTTGACGGTGAGCAGAAATAACATACAAACAAATCTACCCAATTAGCAGCATACGCAGATGACATAAACATAATGAGCAGAACAAAGACTGCGGCAGAAGAAACCTACGTTCAGTTGAAACAGAGTTCAGAAGTTGTAGGGCTAACAATAAATACAAATAAAACAAAACTACTCATACAAACCAGATCAAATAGACAGGCGCAACAACAACAATTTATAGACGATATAGAATACGTGAATAGATTCACGTATTTAGGAATGGATCTGGTCGAAAATAATGAAGAAGAACCGGAAATAAATAGAAGGCTTATGATGGCAAACAAAGCCTATTTCGCGATGGGCCACATATTCAAATCGCGAGACGTACACCGGAAAACAAAACTCCGGGTATATAAAACAATAATCCGACCCATAGTAAGTTATGGGTGTGAAACATGGGTTATAACACAGAAATCTACCAATGCATTAGACGTGTTCGAAAGAAAAATGTTGCGTAGAATACTGGGTCCAATAAAGGAAAATAACAACTGGCGAATTAGATATAATAACGAAATATACGAACAATACACTGAACCAACACTAGCACAATACATTAGACTACAGAGATTACGATGGGCAGGGCATGTGGCCCGCATGCATGAGAACAGAATCCCCAGAAAATTACTAAACGCAAGAATGCAAGGAAAAAGACCTGTTGGAAGACCAAAAAAGAGAGGGGAAGACGAGGTAGATGAGGATGCCAAAAATCTCATAAAAACGCGTTCATGGAAAAGAACAGCAGTAAATAGAGATGTTTTGAGAGGTTTAATGAAGGAGGTCAAGGCCCGGCTTGGGCTGTAGTGCCATTGGATGGATGGATATTAGAATCCGTAAAATAATTTTCGAAACCAAATTCAGATTTTTGCTTTAAGTGATTTTGATTTCTGTGCCTTTTAAGAATTGCAAGGCAAAACAGACGTTGATAAAGATGTTAATAGAGACATGGGGAATCTAAAATTTGCATTCCACGACAGTTGAGGAGAGATGTCGTTTGATCGTTCCCGATTTCCTTCTTCACGTTTTTGTTTAAACTTTTAAAGCTGTCCGAAGTTCGATCTGTTCTGTTTCGTGTTTCTTGGAGTAGTTTAATTGTATTATGTTGGAGTTTAGATGTTTTGATTGTTTTCGTGTTTGAGCATATTTTCTTAACCGATGTTGTTACAGTTACTTTTATTTTATTGGCAAGTCCGTTTATATCCATTTGTTTCAGTGTCTCTATTAATTTTAGTCTTGTGCTTAGCTCTTTTTGGTATTCCGTTTGTTTTTGAACCAGGACGTCGGTGGTTGGATATCGTTCTCGTTTAATAAGTTTGTTTCGTTCTACTCTCGTCTGTATATTAATGTTCGCTCTAACCAATCTATGGTAACTCCCGGTATAGAATTTGTTTAGTACTGTTACGTCGGTGCATATGTTGGGCTGATCCATGTTCATTTACGGTGTTTAAATTTTTTAAAGAAAGTGTTGAGAGAAAATAAATTTTCGTTGTTTAAGTAGTTGTATAACATCTCACCCCTTTCGTTCCTGTTATCCAGCCCAAAGCGACCGATATATTGTATGTCGCCATCTTCTTTTGTTCCAATTTTTGCATTAAAATCTTCTGTGATTATTACGAAGTGTGATTTTTCTTGGTTCCTTGCTGTTGTCAGATCCTCGTAAAATGATTCAGCTTTCTCGTCTGTTGAGTTTCCTGTCGGTGCATATACATGTATTATCTGTAAGCTGTATCTGCTGTTCAAAGTGATGACAAGATATATGACTCTGTTTGATACAGCACAGTACTTCGTTATTTTATAGGGAGTTTGTTGTTTATTAGGAACGCTACACCGCCTATGTGATGATTTTCTACGGAGTTTTTCTGGTATAGCTGGCGACCAGATTTTAAGATGGTACATGCTTCTCCTGGTAACCGAGTTTCGCACAGTCCAATTATGTCCCATTTGATATTTGAGAGCTCTTGTTCTAGTTCGTCAAGGTGTTCTTGGGCCCTCATAGTTCTTATATTGCAAGTGGCTATACGAAGCAATGGTGGGTAGTTTTTCTTATTAGATTCAGTCAAATATTTGCCTCCCCCAGAGTCCATGAGGCTGAC